ATTTATCACGCAAAGTGTCTTGGCTATTCTGGCCTAGTTCGCGATGCCTTCGATTAGAGGAGTGGCCTACGCTACTTCTGCGATGAATGCATCGTATGTCAGAACCCGGCAATATCTATTAGGCGGTTCACAAAAAGCAGTGTTACGGAATTAATCTAAAACTGCCATAAAAATACGCACCGGCTCGTGGCGCTTGAATCGCAGCTCACTAGTCGCATGCTAGCTGAGCCCGATTCCCCAAAGCGTGCAACCTGCTGCCCGCGTTTTGTTTCCAACTCAGCTGCCAGTCTTAGGCGCCACTCAAATGGTACTAAGGTCGGGGGCAAAAAGTGATTCGGTACCCGATGTGGCGCCGCTAGGAACTTCCGCTCTGTCCGATCAAAATAAAGTAGTGGCCCCAACACCTCATTTGGACTTAACGTCCGGATTACGGGCCGATATTGGTAGTACAGATACAAATACACGGTTACTTGTGTTCGGGTGCCCCAGCTAAAACATGTATTCGTTTCACGGCTCGCCCCAGACCTCTCATCAATGGATATTACGGCTTATATCCGTAACAAAATCCAAGTTGATGATTTGAAGGTCGAACAATTTAAATTTTCTTATGCTAGGAAAGTATCATCATTTAAGATTGGTATTCCATGTGCTATTTTTGCATCTGTGTGCTCCACCAGTTTCTGGCCCGAGGGCATATTTGTAAAAGAGTACGAAGCTAAGAGAAACAAGAGAGAACGCTATAGTCGGGTGCCCCGACTATCATATACCTGTTACTCAGGTAAAGGGAGTGCGAGGGAGATGGAGATAGAAACTTTGATCACGCATAACTTTTTAACGAATGGTCCGATTTGAAAAGTTGCTTCTACATTTCGATAGGTATTGATAAACACAATAAAACTGCATTTTTACTTTTCCGAAATATTTAAATTTTTAAAATCGTATATAAGCGATTGTGGGCGTTAAAGGGGGCGTGGCACCTTTTTGAAACAAACTTGTGCTGCGTAGGAACTCCTAAAATCTACATGCAAAATGTCAATCTTCTAGCTTTTATAGTTTCCGAGATCTCAGCGTTCATACGGACGAACAGACGGACAGACAGACGGACAGACAGACGGACAGACAGACGGACAGACGGACATGGCTATATCGACTCGGCTAGTGACCCTGATCAAGAATATATATACTTTATAGGGTCGGAAACGCTTCCTTCTAGCTGTTACATACTTTTGCACGAATACAATATACCCTTTTACTCTACGAGTAACGGGTATAAAAAGAATAGTTCAGGGGAAATGGAAAATACTATTAAAGAACCATCCCCAGCGCCCTCCACATCCTCTTCTGTCCCAAAAAACTAGCCTCCTCTTTTCTTCTTTCTTATCAGAATGCAAGAGGCGTACTTAGTAAGCTGACTAAATTGTATTCGGATAGTTTTTCATTCCCAAATAATATTATTGTATGTACAGAAACCTGGTTAAGGCCGGATAGTCTCAGCTCCGAAATTCTCGCGGGTAAGTACACAATTTAGAGGTTTGATCGTCAGTCCAGACGGGGAGGTGGAGTCCTGATTGCTGTCGACTCAACGCTTTCGTCTGAATTACTAACTTTCGAAGAATTTAAAGACATCGAATTCCTAGTCATAAAATTATCGTTTCCCGTTAGTTTTGTATATATTACTTGTTCATATATCCCACCATCATCTGAGTTCCCTATTTACGCAAATCACCTTTCCGTTATTCAGTCCATCTCCAAAAAACTCTCAAATCGAGTTCAGTTAATAGTATTAGGTGATTTTAATATACCTAGTGCGACATGGTCCCCAGACGAAAGCTCTAATATTTTACTTCTTTTATCCCAAGTAAACCATGTTAAAAAGTCTTTAGGACGTTTATTGGTGTGTTTTGTTCAAATTCAGATGGCGTTTGTCTATTAAGAACATAACCACTTACACAACCGGAAGATCCTTATCATCCAACTCTAGAGCTGACTGTAGATGCGAGAACAGAGCTGAATAAAATATCTGAAAAGTCGGTTAAACGAATCAGCTGCTTTCGTAAGGCCAACTTTCATCGTTTAAATTATTTTTATATCCGCATATGACTGGTCCGAATTTTATTCATGCACTAACATGGGTGAGGCCGTTCAAATTTTTTATAATGCACTGTCAATTTCAAATAAACTTCCATGGTTTAATAAGGAGTTGTCACACCTAAAACGTCCAGACTTTTCAATAAATTTAAAATGTGCGGTTCACGATTTCCCTTCTCTATATACCTAAGGGCTTTTACCGTGCTTAACTCCCGGTGTTATAAAAGCTATCTGACTCGTTGTAGGGTCCAATTTTGACAAGATCGAAAACAGTTTTATAATTTTGTTAACACTAAGCGTAAATCAGCCTGTTGCCCAGCATACCTATCATTTGAAAGTTCTGCCCAGTTTTTGCAGACAACATTCTGTTTCATCCCGTCCAATTCCGTCTTATTCATATGCCATATTCAAGTAAAATTTAATTTTTTGTCCGAAGTTAAGCGAAAGCTCCCTTCTCTTGGATCTCCATAAAGTTAAACCAGTCTACTCACCTGGTCCGGACACTGTTCCTGGCTGCGTGCTTAAATACTGTGCTGAAACTGTGTGTAGACCTCTGCACAAATTGTTTACCTTGTCTTTGAAAACTTCTCATTTCCCACTTATCTGGAAGGAGTCATTTGTTATTCCCCTTCATAAGAAAGGAAATAAATCGAAAACAAGTAATTACAGAGGTGTATCCAAATTATCCGCCATCCCAAAGCTTTTCGAAAACGTTATTACACCCCACTTGCAACATCTTTGTAGATCAATTATATCTCCATGTCAAAATGGATTTATAAGGCGAATATCTACGACGACAAACCTCTTGGAGCTAACATCTTTTGTAATAAATGGCTTCAGAAAGAACAGGCAGACTGATGTAGCTTACACTGATTTTAGTAAAGCGTTTGATTCAGTAAATCACTCGCTTCTTGTATTAAAGCTAGACTTATTAGGGTTTCCATGTGATCTGCTAACATGGATCTTAAGTTATCTAAGTGGTAGAAGTCAACGAGTCCTCTTTAAAAACTCGGTCTCTAATTTGATCCGAGTTACATCAAGCGTCCCACAAGCCACCTTGGCCATAACTTTATTTATAAACGATCTCCCTCTAGTCTTGACAAAGTCACGGGTCCTCATGTACGCAGATGACGTTAAGTGCAATACGAGGTGTGTTCAAAAAGTAAGGTGACTTTTCAAATTTCGCGGGCAACATATTTTCGATTATCGATTTTTTTGTTTTGTTATATTGGTACACTCTTCCCTAACATCTGTACCAAGTTTCAATGGAACATCCTCTTTTGTTTGGTTGTGAGAGGCGTAAAGTTACAAGTTCTTTTGCGAGCTCGGCGATTTTTTGCTTTTTTCGGTCTTGGCTCGCCTGGGCTCTTCCATTGGGACGATTGGGCTTTGGTTTCGATATCATAACCATATACCCATGATTCGTCACCAGTTATGACCCTTTTGAGTAAATCTGGGTCGTCGTTGACGTCATTCAACAGCTCTTGAGCGATGCTCATGCGACGGTTCTTTTGGTCAAAATTCAGCAATTTCGGAACAAACTTCGCTGACACACGACTCATACCCAAAACGTTTGAAAAATTTCATGGCACGAGCCAAGTGAACTGATAGTGATTCGACGATTTTCCAAAACAATTTTCGTCACTGCTTGAACGTTTTCATCAGTTGTTGACGTGCTTGGGCGTCCAGAGCGAGGCTGGTCATTGGCATCTTCCCGGCCATCTTGGAAGAGTTTGTACCACTTGTACACATTTTTTTTACTCAGAACAGTTTCACCGTATGCCACTGTCAACATTTCAAGTGTTTCAGAGCACTTAATTTTATTTTTTACACAAAATTTGATGCAAATCCTTTGATCCATATTTTTCGATAGCAAAAATCGCCGAGCTCGCAAAAGAACTTGTAACTTTACGCCTCTCACAACCAAACAAAAGAGGATGTTCCATTGAAACTTGGTACAGATGTTAGGGAAGAGTGTACCAATATAACAAAACAAAAAAATCGATAATCGAAAATATGTTGCCCGCGAAATTTGAAAAGTCACCTTACTTTTTGAACACACCTCGTAGACCTAAATGCTTTTCAAACATGGTGTTGTGAAAATCTTTTGGATTTAAATAGCGCTAAGTGTAAAGTAATGAAATTTTTTTAAGGTGAACCCACAATACGCCACGTTTACGCTGGGTGGTTGTGCGTTGTCTAGAATCACGCATGTTGATGTCCTTGGCGTCCTTCTTGACCCAAAACTTAAGTTTTGTGACCATATTACTTCCATGTTCACTTGCTCACTTGTTCACATGTTTTGTCCTTAACTTTCTCACTGCTCATTTTACACACTATAGAAGCTTTAACCAGAAAGAGCTCCAGAAGTGGCAACTTCCAATTGCAAAGCTTTTGATCTTAACAAAGAGAAGTTTCTGATGCACTGCTTCCATCGCCGTATATAGCTGATGAGGTGCCCCATCGGACGCGTCTACCTCAGTCCTTAAGGACTGGAGCACTATTATACGGATGTAATAGAATTGGCACCCAACTCTAGGACATTTTTAACATCCTTAAAGTTATTTTACCGTTTTAAAGGTAATTAGAATTGGTGGTACCGCAGGTATGCCATTTTTTCTATGCGTTTTGATTTCTCAGCTCTTTACCTGAATTAAATGCGGGCAGGGTGTTCAATAAGCGATGAGTCCTTGTAATGGGTTCGTATTATATGATTACATAAATACTTTTAATTCTACAAATACAAATATTTGGCATGTTAGTATTTAACATGCGTATTCATAAGTATGACAGCGGCTGGAAAGACCTGAACTAGCTAGAATTCTGCGATGCAATTATATTTTATGAGATATCTTTTCAATTAATTCTATAGTTTTTATCTAACGAAGATTTAATGTTTTTTTCCATTTTAGATATGTCAATGCCGAGCTCTTTTCAAAATTCGGAGACCTATTTTGACACCGTAATAGAATTCCTATGCTCGTACTCGTGGATTTATCGAGAAGCCAATGTTGCTTGTATAACCTCCATCGATATTATGCCACTTGAATTCAAAAAATTTTTTCTCGAAATATCTAAAGAAAAGCTTAATGCATTTCCTTTTATACACGAAAATATTGACGATTGCCCTTCAGAGCTTTTTGCCTTCAGAAAAAAATTGTGCATTTTGACGCCAAAACCTTATTCGTCCAAATCTTTTGCGATGGTGAAAAATCATGGGAACCACAAAGGGCTGTCGACAAAAAAAAAACAGGAAATCAAACAACTTGCCGCTCACGTGCACGACCATTGTCCAGACGCGCAAGTGGTAGTGGACTTGGGAGCAGGCTTGGGTTATCTAAGCCAAGCTCTTTACGAACTAAAACCTGATTGCCTTATTCTTGGCTTGGAAGCCGATATGGAGCGGGTGGAGCGGGCTCGTCAGCGATGTCTTCGTTTTTTGCCATCCGATACCATAAAGTCAATTCGTTACTTGAAAAAGTTCGTTAATTTCGAATCCGGATCTTATATAGATGAACAGACATCAGAACTTGCTAAAAATAACGGCTGCACCGAACTAAAACCGATTTCTTTAATTGGATTACATGCCTGTGGCGATTTAAGCATAAATGCAATGCGTTTATTTTTGAAAATGCCCCGAGTTCGCTGTCTTCACATTATGCCCTGCTGCTACCATAAGCTTGAAGTCGTTAGCTTTGGCGGAGACAGCGATAAGGAAGTGCTTGCAAACTTTCCCTTGAGCGCGGCTTTAGAAAAGTCTGTTCGAAAAAGTTTAAGAAACCCATTCTTAAATAGACCATTTCTTAGACTGGCTTCCCAGCGTTCTACTTCTCCTTGGTGGCGAGATTGCACCGAGGGTGCACATGAGGAACACGGGTACCGCATGTACATACGAGCGCTGGCTGAGGCTATCCATAACTCAACAGAAATTGTGAAACCTAGGAAAATTTTTTTTCCAGAGTCAAGCTACCCAATCGACTTTAGCGAAATAAAAAGAAGGTTTCAGTTGCTATCAAAGGAATCAGGTGAGTCGGTGCAGTGGCAACCGTCACACGAAAAGATTTTTTTTGAAATAAGCGCTAAGTACACTGACAAAGAGGGTCCTATTTTGGCTGAAGGCTTGACATGCTTGCAAGCAGCCATGCAGGTAATTTTTGAAAAAATTATGATTGTGCTATAACTATAACGATAAATAAATCCTCTTTTTTTTGGTTGATGTCGATTAGAAACTGTGTGAAAACGTAGTGCTGTTCGACCGTTTATGTTACTTGGAGGAAGCGGCAGAAAACAGCAAATTGCCTATTCAGGTCCGATATGAGACATTGCTAAATGAGAAGATATCGCCACGATGCCAAGTTTTGGTTGCTGAAAAGTTGTTTTAAAGCTGGCATAATCTTTAGGTAAATTCTGTTTATTTTTTTTTCGTGTTTTTTACATGACGTCATGTTCCAAAAATACAATTATATTACCTTTTCTCTGCATTCTTACATTATAGGTTCAGAAACCGTTGAAGTTCGTTGGCCCTATAGATAAATTTCACTTAACGGAGACAACTTCATTTGGAATACTGAAAAGTTGATAAAAAATCACGAAAGAGTATTTTATTCGTATTTATGGCTGCATCAAGCAATTAAAACGTGCTGCCAGCAAAATTAAACTAACTAAGTGATTTGCTGAGGTCAACTTACTGAGTTTGGTAGATCATACAAGAAGTCGAATAGTGAAAAAAACTTCATCAGAATTTGATTCATTCAATTTTACGGAACGAATAGACCCAAACAATCTTTTGTGACAATAAAAGAACTATGAAATAAAATATTATGTCTTTATCCAATGTAATCAAATTGATTGATACTATATCAAAAATACTAAAAATATCCAAAACGTTTCTAATCGCGTCAGGTGTTTTTAATTTTTTGCTTTAAATAACAAGTGACAACCAAATTCGTTGGCAAAACCAGCGACAGTCTTCACCGCGATTTTTCAGATAAATTAAACTTAGTTCGAGGAATGCAAATAAGAACAGCAAATTCTCAAGTTATGACCATCCAAAAGTTACTCTTAACCAGGGTAGATGAAAAAGTCTTCAATGCAATCACCAAGCCCAAGTGTGGTTTTTGCAAATTGCGTCATGGTGTATATGCAACAGAATTCCAATAAAAAGCGGATAGTTCAAGGCGCTGACAAATATGCCGAAGTTGTCGGGAAGACCTATATTCGAAAGGGTGCATATGCAAATAAGTAAGTTCCAATGGGTGGTTCAGGAAATACCAAAAAGAAAAATACAGCCAGAAAGGCTTAAGAACCACCTCCTTTTTAAAAAACCCAAAAAACTACGTATGATAGCGTCAGGGCACTATGCCTCTTAATTTTCTAATCCATTTTGGATCAAAATAGGAGAACCCATCAAAATGCCGAGAAGCATGGAAGTCATTCCGAAACTATGGGGAATCGAAAAACAGAGTTACCATAGTGGGATTGCAGAACCTGAGTTCAGTTAAAATTAAGAGAAATGTTAGGGTTGAGAAAGTGATCGGCGTGAAAAATATTACTATGAACATTTAAAGAACGGAGTCTAAAAAAACACTGAAGCAAAGGTACTACTCTAAATGAGCTAGTGGACGAACACTTCTGCCACAAGACCCTCGCACCCCGCCTACAGCTCACCGGTGGTGATCATGGAAATGAAAAACAAGCAATGGAGATTGTGTATAGACTATATGCAACTGAATGAGCACTCACAAAGATATGCTTACCCTGTACCCCGAATGGATCATATCATGGTATCATGGATCATGGTATTTGGACCAGAGATGGAACCGGTCGGGTTAACATACCTGGACAACATAGTGGACATCGGAAGAAAGGAACGGGAACACCTGGAAATGCAAATATTTCGCAAGGCAAGGCTCCGAATCAACACGGAAAAACGCCACTTTTTAAGGAGGAACTAAAATATGGAAGGGTACCATTTCGTGGTCATGTCCGACCATCAAACACTAAGGTGGCTCGACTTAATCGAGAGCCCATCAGGACGGATAGCCATATGGGCATTGCTAATGCAGCCATTCTCGTTCGAGGTCCGCCACCGCAAGGGGAAGCTAAATTCGTGGCTGATGCGTGGCCAGAATGCTTGAGGAATAGGTAAATGGAGCAGAGGTCGAGGACTACTGCTGGATAAAGTAAAAACTTCTGGCAATAGATAAGGAAATTGCAACGGGGTCGGACTACGCAGCTATGTGAAGTAAGTTATATTGACACCTACCATCATGGGCCACGGCTGAAGATACACTACCATGGAAACTATGTGTGTCATGGAAAGGGTATCGAGGAAAAACAATAGCGAGGCGATAGCGAGTCACTCGGGAATCCGGAAAACAAAACAGCATGTCAACGATGCAAAACGTCGCAACAAAAGGCCGAAGGGAAAATGCTTACCAAAATCGCACAAGCACCGTGGAAACAATATGCGTATACTCTGTCGGACCATTACTAAGATTAACCACGCCAAGTACGACGAGCTTATGCCTGGAAAAAGGTGCCTTACCTCGGCTTAAGTCCTGTTCGACGGAGCGCGTATATGCCTATTTAACCCATTAATAAAAGGACATTGTTTGCGCACTTGGCGCGTTTATTCAAATTGTAAATTCTCTCTAGCTTTAAGGCGAGAGCGGGAGCCAATAAAGTTTTCGTTCGCTCTCGCAAATTCGCCCTGTCTCTCGCCTTAGATAAGCATAGCTATAAGAAATCATAATTGAAATTAAAACCAGTGTTAAATAGAACCCGATCAACATCGCACTCCCTTTCGTCGCTTTCATCGTCTCAAATATAAAATCGTCAAATATCCAATCAAAGTCGCGATTTTTATTAATACAAACTAGTATTAAAATTACATGGTGACCCCGACGTGATTTATTGGATTTTCGCGATTGAGAAAAGTAATTTTCACCAAAAACAAAAAAAACTCGCGTCGGTACGGCAACTAATTTTTTTCGTTTGGAACTGCGTTGGAAGTCTGCTGACCCCTTCCTCTGTTGCTGCTGTTGAGATGGAATCAAACGAAGTTTCAAGCCTCGAATTGGCCAAGCAGGTATAGAGTGCGAAAAGTTGAAAGCTAATCTGTGGCGTTTTTTAATTTATTTGGCCCATCTTTCAACTTTTTGCATTCGTGTAAAAATCGGTAGATAGTGAGCATTCTAACCAAGAAAATAAACAATTTTGCATGAACTAACAATTTTAATTTTGGCGAATATATTAGGTTGTCAAAAAAGTCTTGCGGTATTTTCGCTAGTTGGCGCTGAAAGCGCGTAGTTCTTGTTTTATTCGTCCCATCAGGTCATACTATACTTTTTTGGAAAGCTCATTTCACGCGCTAACACGTGTTTGATTGATTGTCTTTTCTTTTAAGTCGTTCGTTAGTTATAGCGTCGCAATCATGGAGCAAAATAAAGAGAAAATACGGCATATTTTACAGTACTACTACGATAAAGGCAAAAATGCATCTCAAGCCGCCAATAAAATTTGTGCAGTTTATGGACCCGATACAGTTTCCATTTCCACCGCACAACGATGGTTTCAACGTTTTCGTTCTGGTGTAGAGGTGGTCGAAGATGCGCCACGCTCCGGAAGGCCTGTCGTCGAAAATTGCGATAAAATCGCTGAATTGGTCGAAAGAGACCGGCATAGTAGCAGCCGTAGCATCGACGCATGCGAATCGCTTCTAAATCGCAACAAAATCGACCCGTTTTTGAAGAGTATGGTGACTGGCGATGAAAAGTGGGTCACTTACGATAACGTAAGGCGCAAACGGTCGTGGTCGAAAAGCGGTGAAGCGACCCAGACGGTGGCCAAGCCTGGATTGACGGCCAGGAAGGTTCTTCTGTGTGGGATTGGCAGGGAATAATCCACTATGAGCTGCTCCCCTATGGCCAAACGCTCAATTCGGACCTGTACTGCCAACAACTGGACCGCTTGAAGACAGCACTCATGCAGAAGAGGCCGTTTTTGATCAGCAGAGGCCGAATTGTCTTCCACCAGGACAACGCCAGGCCACACACATCTTTAGTGACGCGCCAGAAGCTCCGGGAGCTCGGATGGGAGGTTCTTTTGCATCCACCGTATAGTCCGGATCTCGCACCAAGTGATTACCACCTGTTTCTGTCCATGGCGAACGCGCTTGGTAGTCTGAAGTTGGCCACAAGAGAGTCCTGTGAAAATTGGCTCTCCGAGTTTTTTGTCAATAGGGAAGCGAGCTTCTATGAGAGGGGCATTATGAAGTTGGCATCTCGTTGGGAACGCGTCATCGAACAAAACGGAGCATATTTGACTTGAATCGCAATTTTGTAACCAATTTTATGAACAATTGAAAATTCAATAAAAATACCGCAAGACTTTTTTGACAACCTAATATATACATACATACATAAATATTTTAAACTATACAAAAGTGAATCGCTTTGTATATTAAAACACAAACAAAAAATTCGACCTAAATTAGTGCAAACTTAATTCCCCCATTTTCGTCGTAGTGAGCACCAATTTAGGGTATTGCTAAGAAAGCTGGAAAAGAAGTGCAATTTTTAATAAAGCCTAGTATCCAGATCGACAAACGATTACGCTAGCGTAAAAACTTTAGTCTTTCCAGTGTGACCAAAAGTTTGAGAGTTCATCAGATTTAAGCGTGCTACGGTCGTACTGTCAATCAGCTGGGTTTGTTGACAAGCAGTTAAAATTCAAATATCGTATTTGCGGGAAAGAGCCTTTAAAAGATATTATCAAATACCTTGGCAAGATAAGTCTGACGCTGTACAAAGAAATTAAAAAACAATACAATTTAAATTTAACTGTTGTTTTTTTTAATTTACTGATAATTATTTGCTAATTTAAAGTTCATAGCTGCACTTTTATTGTGTTTTTTCGTACATTCTGGACCTAAAAAACATTTGGCTCTGACAAGAGGCACCCCAGATAGTATTAATGTTATTTTGTCCTCACATGTAAACACCTGCAATCGACTTTTGTGAGTTTTTTGAGTTTTTCCCTCCATTTCTTATAATGTTTAGTGAGAAGCGCACGCCAAAAGATTAAATTTTTTAATCTTTTCGCTAGGGTTCACCCAAAACTCATTTCCGCAGACTGGCAACGCTATGGAATTTTCTGGTATTTTTTCGTCGATCAGGGGACCGACGTGAAAAAAAGGCCCGACGAAAAGTGAACGGCAGCTGTTTGCCTCTCGCTCTCTCTCATGACTGGCGTACGGTTTTCGTCAATCAGGATACTAGGCTTTATTGAGAAAATCGCCGCAAAAACCCGCGCTTTTCATAATATTTTCCGCGCTTTTCATAATATTTTCCGCGCTTTTCATTATTTTCCCGCGCCTTTCAGCATCAGGCTTATATACTCGTTGCTTTTAGTTATCAGTGCATTATTCTCCGTTTGCATTTGCCTTTGCCTAGGAGTTGAGCCGCGTTCATATACACACGCACACCGACACCACTGCCGCGATTTCGAGTTATCTTTGTCGTTTTCGTTCTCGATCTCGGCAGCAGTACAATTGTTGGTTGCTTTAACGCTTGTTCGTTGGTTTTCGGTACGCTTGAGCGTTGGCGTGTGCTCCCCTACAGTGCCTGCGATCGGCATAGCACTGTCGTAGGTTTTTCATAAAAACTTCTAAAAACTCTAATTAAGATTTTTTTAAACTTCTCTCCCCCTACACTGCCTGCATTCGGCATATTTCTCGATAGTCGTTTTAAATTATATTATTAAACAAATACACAGTGTAAATAAAAAATAAAATATATTTATTTTAAAAAACCTCTTCGATTCCAAAAAATAAATAAATAAAAAATAAAGGCAATGGCAACCAAGGATATCGAATAGCTCAAACTC